AATATCTAACCACTTGTATAATTTCAAACCAACGTCATTTGCAGTAGGTCTCTTTAGTGGATCTGAATCAATGCAATTCTTAACCAATTCGATATAACAATTAGGTGTTTCAGGAGAAAGTTCTGGTCTCAACCCTCTAGAAATTTTCGATGCAAGCTCTTTGTCGAATAAGTAACCATCAAAGGGTCTTAGACCAGTTGAAATTTCCGTCATAATAATGCCCAAACTATAAATATCAGCTGCTTGACTATACTGTTGACCTAATAAAACTTCTGGAGCAACGTAGGGCATGACACCATAAATAATTTTTTCCGAAATGTGGTCTTTTTTTTTTCTAAACGATACTAAATCTGTGATATAAGGTCGTATACTTTCACTATTTTCTTGATTTTGCAGAATATTTCCACTATGAAAGTTGCCATGAATATATCCTTCTTTATGAATTTTCGCTAAATCGAACGATATATTAGCAAGTTGTTGTAATTTACTTTTCCATGTAAGTTGTTTAAAATCTGATTTTAAGAAATGATAAAGATTTCCTCTATTTGCATATTGAAATACCATAAAATATTCATTTTCAGTATTTCTTGTTATCCCATATATTTTAAGCCCACTATCCTTTAATTTAAATTTCATACGACCTTTAAACTTATAAATTGAATGTCAGCTAAAATTTGTACATGTTAATTAATTATAATTATAATTAAACTTACTTCGTTTAAAAAGTCAAGAGCGTTTACTTTCGAACTTGAAAAATTCTTGAGCGCAACTATACAGGATTTTTTGCGAGATCTAGTGTAATTTCCGTCAATTATTCGCACACCATCCAACCAGATTGCTGAAAATACAAGGCCAAATCCACCCTCGCCAATCTTCTCTATATTGTTTAATCTATCAAACGGAATCCATTCAATAATATTTTCATACATTGTCGTTTTAAGCTGAAATTCTTTAATACAATCATCCACATCTTTATCTCCACTTGTCCATCCTTGAGTTACTTTCTCTGGATCGCATGATTTACACCAGGCTGGAGATGTATTGTGTTGTTTACATTGTTCACATTCACCATAATTATCATCACTTACCATTATATATCGATTTATATTAGTTATGTTTATATAATTTTCAACTCATAAAAATACTATGTGAGTACTGCTTACCGTCTAATTTAATGCAAATATGGATTTGAAAATTTTTTTAATTTTTTTCCACACACTTCAGTATAAACTTAAATTGTAACAATGCTTAATTGTAAACTTAACACTCACTCACTCAAATTTAAATAGATATTCAATATTAGATAGAATATTATGATTGTCTCGGAAATAAAAAAAAAAAACTTTATACTTACATCCTAACATAGAGAAATATAATTGTTAAAGCAATAAAATTATAAACGTAATATATTAAACTTCAAAATTCATACTCACGTGCTGAGAATTTAATATTTATTTTTGATAAGTAATAATATTTTAGAAATGAAAACGACAAGAATTTTGCACTTACCGACTAATTTTGGATTTAAGCAGTTGATAAGGTATCAGTTATTTGATTGTAAATATATAAAATATTTAGCTTTATACTCACACACTATTAATATAACATTTATGCGATTAGCTAGTGATAAAAATATGATGAAATATTAAATGTTTCTGGGTTTTATACTTACGCACTAAAATTTTGATGAACGTAGTTTATTAAAGGATAGATATAACTATAAATGAAAAGCTGTCCTAAAGGATAATACTCACTTTCTGTAAATTAAAATGTACAAATTGATTGTATTTAATGATAATACGTTATAAACCAGTCAAAAAAAAAGAAGAAAAAAGCTTTAGTTACCGTCTAATTTCGTGCGAACATAATTGAACAAATGATATTTAAATACATCATAGGTAAACCATAAAGATAATGATTTATACATACGAACTAGTAATTTAATTTATATGTAATTTGTTAAAAAGATAATCTTAATGAAAGAACGAATAAATTTAATACTCACAAACTAATAATTTAGGATATGAATTAAGTAGAGAAATTTTTTGCAATATAATAATGTTATGAATAAGAATAAATAAACCTATACATACGCTCTAGTAGAATACTATTTTATTAGCAAAGTAATATTTAACAATAAATCCTTTCCGAATACAGTCAGAAAATACTCACGCACTAATAATTTAAAAGCCATATGATCATCAAATAAATATTATTAAATAGTGAATATTTAAAAGTGAAAATAACATTCTTACTCACAAACTAACAATTAAGATGGATGTATATAATTTATTTAAATAATAAATTTTCACAATAATTAATTTAGTAATGAAAGAAATTTTTACTTACGCACTAATATATATATAATTAATTTATAAATGTCACTAATGAATTCTTGCAAAATACAGACAAAATTTATAAATTTCACCTTCTATTTAAAACAATTGATCAGAAAAGTGGTTTAAAGTAAATCCATGAATTGAATTATCACTTACAAACTGGTAATTTAGACACAATGTCAGTATTTAATTTTTCTTGTAAATAGCCGGTACAAATATAGGTCTTGTTATACTCACTCCCTGTTAATTAAATATGTATATAAATGACTATATATGATTTTTATAAAAGATAATCTTTGGAAGATAAATACTTACAGACTTGTATTTAGCGAGAACGTAATATATTAAGGCATTAATATTAAAACTTTATTAAATGCATATTTAAACTTTGAATGAAAACGAACTTACTCCCTATTAAGTTAGATTTACTTAACACTAAGCTCTTATGAAATATTAATCTTAAGCAAATAAATTAATAATGCTCACCGTCTAATTTAGAACAAATTAGAATGATTTATTAGATATATGATTTATGGGACATCAATTTTAATGAACAGACTTACTATATACTTACTCCCTGTCAATGTTGAATATGTGTGGTTGATTATGCATTAAGTAATATACAAAACAAATAAATAAATCGGGTTAGGAAAAATTTTGGTACTTACCGCCTAATTTAACATGTACAAAATATTTAAAGTTATAATATTAAATAGTAAATTCCTTTAAAGTATTTCTTTAAAATATAAAGGAGGATGCGATTTATGCTCACACTCTATAATTTAAAGCATAAAAAATTGATTAAAATTTTAACATTTACTAAAAATTTACTAAACATTTAGTAGTAATTTTAACATCAACTAATCATTAAACAATACTCACTTTCTGGTAACTTCTTTAAGGGCCCTTAATGTCCATGTATTATTTGGTTCGATTTCTAGTAATCTGTTTAAGTCTGCAAGAGACTCTTTATACCTTTTCATTACATGATAGATCTCTCCTTTATATCTTAATGCGAATGTATCATTTGGCGAGATTTTTAACAGTCTCGTTATATAAGCAAGTGCTTCTTCATATACGCCCATAATGAAATATGCTTTCACCTGACATCTTAGTTCAGTTATTTCATTTGGTTCAATTTCCATTGAATCAGTTAAATCTGAAAGTCTATCTATCCTGTCAACCTGTTGATTTACTAATTCATCATTGCATTGATTGAGGGCTTTAACCCATTTTTCTTTTAATAGTTTATCACTAATATCATCATCATTAATTGCTATTTTTATATAAAATAATATATAATCATATTAAAATCATAAAATCATAATTAAAACAAAGAATGATAAACAAGCTCACCTGCATATTTAAACTTTTCATGCCCAAAATTTACTTTCATAGTCCCACCCCGTGATCTCATTCCAACGCAAGGATATAATTCACCTTTAAGATCTCGAAAAGCAATTCCTTGAAATATATTGTAAAGCATTAATACAATTCATATAGCTAAGCCTTTTAATATTAAAATAATAGTTACCTAGATGTACACCATTTTTTGTGTAAAACACTGCATTATATCTAAAGTTTAAGCAGCACCCAATGGTATCACCAGTAGTAAATAATGGACCGTATGATTTTCCAGTTCCCGAACAGCAATAGAAATTTCCATCATCACCATGATAGCCCCATGAGCTATTTTCCCATCCTAATATTTTATAACTTTTAGTATAAATAAAACTATCTAATTTAATAAATCAAAAGTGAAACAATAAATACCGGGCATCCTATTTAGATTGACTGCTATAGCGCAAAACCCTATTCCAATCTCTCTTTAATAAAAGAACTGTGTGAAATCAATTAAAAATTATATTGATACCAACACATATAATATGAAAACTAAGTACCCATTATCTCCTTTATCTAAAATATCAATTTCAAAATAAAACAGCCCACATTGTGGAGGAATTGGAAGATCTGCTCGTATAGCAGCAGAATCAGCTTTTTCACCTGGACCTAAAAAGTTCTTATAAATTAGTTACGAATTTTTTTACATAAATGTCAAGAAAATTAAATATTGCATCATTATTTTGTATAAAATGCTAAATAATCGTTATGAAAGAAATTAGAGTATCAGAAAATAAGCTACCCTATTTCTGGAAAGTTTTGGACGCAAAAAAAGTCAAAAAAGTGAGGAATAGCTTATCTTATAAACCTGGCTTTTTGCCAACTTTAACATATAATCAAATACTGTATATTAAGTTGTTCGAGAGATCGAAATATGTATTTCGTGACAATTTTGCATTTTATGACGAAAATGAGAAAAGTCATTCGATTTATATTAAACTTTCAATATATGGGGAGGGTAATAGAAATCAAGCACACATTGTCTATATAAAAATTTTCTAAAATTTAAACATGAATTATATAATAGCAAATTTAAAAAAAAAATTAATAATTTGATCCTACGAATAAATAGGATTAAATTCAGTTAAATTATCGTTAAGTTATTAGTGGATAAATTTTTTTAAAAATTTTTGACATCAATAATTGCTTGATTTCTATCGAACTTCCTCATATATATTTGATCTCTCTTATACTTAATATATACTGTATGTCAATATCGGCTTTATATTATTGATTCAGTTATTTTTGGAATTAAGAATTTTATAAATTTTGACCAAAAAAGGGAGGTGGCTTATTTTCAGGAATAAATATATCTTTTCTTGTAGTTTAAGGCTCGTAACAATTTACGCGAAATACTGTATTAAGACATTGCAAATCTCACCTACATAAGTAACCTCAAGTCCGTCTGAACTTACGCTCAGGAAAGTAAATTTATCATCAACATTCCATTTAGTCGGTGATGCCATGAAGTCTTCAATATCGTTATTTTAAGTACCTAATTTCACTACAGTAGATAATATATTAATATGTTTATATAGGCTTTTTCGTGATAGGATCTCGTCAAAGTGAGATGCAAATCCTTAATTTTTTTTTTTTAATCAATGGAACTAAAATAGAAAAGGTAACGGTAATACGGCACGTGACTTCACAATCGTGAATGAACTACCCAGTATCGCAAAAGTATCGTTTTGATAGATCAGCGGTTGCTTTTTTGATGTACCTAAAATTAAGTTACATTCTTGATGCATCATAAATCTTATCAAGAATTTGAGCTGATATTTTTTATTTTTTTTTATTCTACTGCCCTGTAGATCAATTAAAAAAATTTTACCGAATTTGCTTAGGAGGTTGCGAGATAATTTTGCTCGAAATTTTGCTGCGGCTGTTATTCTGATAGACATTTTTAATGTTTTCAAAACTTTAAGCAAAGATATCTCAGCACCACCTAGCCAAATTCAATGAATTATATTTTTTGACTCTACAGAATTTTAGAATTAAAATAAAAAAAGCTTCATCAAATTTGGCTAGGTAGTTTCTGAGATATTTTAGCTCAAGTTTTATAAAAATTTGCTGCGGCTTTTATTTTGATAGACTTCGTTTTCAAAATTTTGAACGAAAATATCTCAGCACCTACCTAGCCAAATTCGACGATTTTTTTATTTTTTTTTGATTCTACAGATCTGGAGAATCAAAATAAAAAGACTTCATCAAATTTGTTGAATATTTGCTGAAATATCTTCGCTTAAAGTTTCTAAAAAATTTTCCATCGCTGTTATTTTAATAGACACTTTAATGCTTTCAAAATTTTGAGCGAAGATATCTCTGCAACCACCTAGCCAAATTCGATTTATTTTACTTATTTTGACTCTACAGATCTGTGTATCAAAATAAAAAAAAAACTTCATCGAATTTGGATAGGTAGTTACCGAGATATCTTCGCTCAAAGTTTTATGAAAATTTTGCCGCGCTGTTATTTTTTAACGTTTTCAAAATTTTGAGCAAAAATATCTCAGCAGCTACCTAGCAAAATTTGATGAATTTTTTTTTTTTTATTTTGATTCTACAGGCATGTAGAATCAAAATAATAATAATAATAATCTTTATCGAATTTGGTTAGGTAGTTGCTGAGATATCTTCGCTCAAAGTTTTATAAAAGTTTGCCGACGTTTTCAAGAATTTGAACGAAAATATCTCAACAACTACCGAGCCAAATTCGATGAATTTTTTTTTATATTGATTGCATAGTTTTGTAGAATAAAAAATAAATAAAATTGATCGAATTTATTAGGTAGTTGCTGAGATACGTTCGCTCAAAGTTCTATAATTTTTTGCTGCCGGTTATTTTTGGTAGATGTTTAATGCTTCCAAAACTTTGAGCGAAAATATCTAAGCAACTACCTAAACACGATGAATTTTTTTATTTTGTTCCACAGATTTGTAAATCAACATAAAAAAAAAGATTATCGAATTTAGTTTGTCAGTCATCAAGATATCTTTACTCAAATTCTTGAAAAAATTTAAATTTTATGTACTGTACGATGCATCAAGAACGCCACCACAATTTTGGTGCATTGTAGATCTATCAAAAAGCAACCGTCAAAAACGATACTTTTACCCCAGTATCGCCACCAAAAAAGTTACGGGCACGAAACAAACGTTCGTTTCGTCGAAAATCGCTTATAACTCAAAATTTGCATAGGAAACCACCTTTGGTGCATTAACAAAAAGTTTTCCTTGAGCGATTTTACTATTAAAGCTCTAACAATTGTAGCATAGACCCTAACCCTACTTAAACGAATTTAAAGATTTTTTGGTGGCGTTACTTGGAAAGATATCGAGACTGATGTTATGAATGCATATATACAATGAAAGTTATAAAAAATTTTTCGTCTGATGAGTATATATCTAATTAGGAATCCATATAAGTTGACTTGCGTGTAGATGAAGTTTAAATGAATTTGACAGTAAGAAATATATGTATAATAAATTTAAAACCATTACATTTACGTGTATATCTATTTTTCTTCAGAACTTTCAAATGTTATTTTACGACATTCAATGAATGTTTTGAAATAAATGTATTTATAAAATAGGTTTAAAAGTTTTTTATATGTTTAATATGATGCATTTGAGTAATTTTTATATGATATGTTTGATTTTTGCGAACACAAAATTATAGTATATATTATTTTGTAAAGATTAAGCGATATCATATAAAATAATCGGTATAAAGATGCAGTAAAAACTGTTAAAGATTATACCGTAGGCCATAACAATTTTCCATATTTCATTATAAATACAAACAATTCAAAGTTCACATCCAAATTATTGTTTGTGAGGATTTTCAACGAAATAAACTTGGTATCGTAATTTCCCGTGAATTCGGATCAATTTCAAATCTCAGAATCAACAAAGTAATTTCAGATCTTAAATAATCTTCATTAAATATCTTATAATATATATTTTTTGATCCGAGAATATCCATTCATTAAAAAACAAGTTAAAATAAATTTTAAACCAAAACATTCGAACGGTATTGATCTCGCTTTACTTTACACGGTGGCCGAACCCATAAAAAAAAACAGAATGAAACTATACCACAGAAAATCGATTAAATATGAGGAGTTTGAAGTTTACCAAAATAAAATTATTAGTTTTTGAAAAGCTGTAAAAGAACAAAGTCAGTTTCTACTGTACTATATTAGTACAAATATAAATGCGAATATATAAATAGTCCCATAAATGTCATAAATAAGCAGCCAGACTGAAGATTAATTTAGCCAGCATTAAATTAATGCACGGTTAAAATTTAACTTACTGTCTAGCTAAAGCAGAGATTAAATTCTCCGTGTACAAAGATTGAAAAGTTAAATTAATAAAATAGAAAATTTTTATTTTGATATTACTTTATTAGTTATTACTGTATTTAAGTCAATATTAACACTATTAAAAGGCTCTATATACAAGAAATAAATAAAAAAGAAGAAGCTAAATAACCATTAAATAACCATTAAATCTTGTTAACTGTACAATTAATTAGTATTAATAAATATCTTTACTATGTCGAATTCACTATATTAATAATCTAAAAACATTTATCTATTTTTACGTGTAAAAAAAAAAAATGTTTATAAATCCAATACTTCGTAAAATAAGCACGTTGATAATTGAAGTATCTCAATTAATGTTTTATCGGTATTTCTATCAATTTCACTTTTTGGTTTTCCGGTTGAATATAATACCGTTGTGAACCGTAAATTCAAAGGATCGGTATTTAGATGAACAGCGACTTGTTTTGCAACCTAATTGTATTAATAAAAAAGACCTAATTAGATCAATTAAAATTATGATCATAAAAAGATAAAGATCTGAAAAAAATTTAACGTACAGCATTATATCCCATTTTCCTATTTAAAACTAAATTGAATTCAGGTTTTGGATCTCGATATCCGAATTTTGATTTGAAATGAACGATAATACTCGATGAAAGTGATTCATAAAATTCAGGAATATTATATATGCGACCAGCGCTTACATGCTCTTGAATCCTGTAAGTAAGATGTTCTTAACATACTGAATTTACTCGTTGATAAAAATGTTGAATTAAAGAAAAATTTTTATTTATTTATAATATTATAACATACTCTTTTTGCGTTAATGCCTTTTGGAAACAGATTATATCGCCATTTTGTATTTCTAACTTTTTAAATGTAAATTTTGGTATCATTTTCTCAATCATGCTTGGTTTAATTTCCTAAGTTTTTAGGTAGTTCATATTAATAAAAAAATATATATAAATATAAATTACATATAAAAAGTTATAAAAAATAACTTACTTCATATAATGTCAAAGGTGTATTTGGCGGAAATTTTTTTTTCTTGCAAAGAATTGGAAAAATATCACTAACTCTACCAAATTCCTGAATATATAAATGACCTATGCTTCTGTTAAAATAAACAAAATGTTATATTAATTTTAGTAGTATATAAATCTTTAATTTTGTGATACTGTATAAAAATGACCTATACAGAGATGTCACGTTACAATGTCCAAAAAAAATTGAAACCAATTGGACATTGTAACGTGACATCTCTGGACCTATAATATAGGATATGCATTTCAAAGTCAATGGTCCTACATATATACATACTCTATTGTTTGCGTATATGGATCAAAATATTTAATAAATATAAGAAAACGAGATATTTCTTTAGATGACTGAAACCATTTCTGCATTGGTTATACAAATTAAGATTAGCTGAATAGTGTCTAGAAATTTATGGTAAAAAAAAATTGGAGAAAATGAACGAAATTGGCAAAAAAAATTCTTCACAAAAAAATTAATTATCTCGTGAACTATTGATCAAAATTATTTAATTTTGATCAATAATTCACTAGATAATTAATTTTTTGGGAAGAATTTTTTTATGCCAATTTCGTTCCTTTTTCCCAGCTACAGCAAAAGGTAAACATTACCTTGTTAATTAATTGTTTTTCAATTATCTCCATATATAATTGCAATCCCTCACATCGCACTGATAATTCTGTTTTGATAGCATCCAACGCTGATCGTCAAAATTAACCAAAATTTCAAAATTTCAAATTGTCAAAATCATTTGAATAAAAAATTATTCAATAGAGAAATTGCAAAAAACTCACATTTATCATGAAAACAGTCCGGTATTGGGGTATCTATTCTAATAGTTTTATTTAATCGACTTACAAGAACCCAAAACCTTATTTGATCAGCTGAAAGTTTAAACTTTTCAGCGACCGCCTTTTTAAAAGTACCGTAGGTATCTTCTTTTAATACTTTAAACTGAGTAATTTCAGAGAATGGATATTGTGGATTATCAAAATTAACGAGATCAAATCCTTTATGAATTTTAAAGTTCTCTTCGGTCACAACCTAAACAATAATAAAAATTATAATAATTAATGAATAATCGATTGATTACTTAATAA